AAAATACTTTATTTTATTTTATTTTCACAAGCCCTGATAATGGCAGAACGATCGAGGATCTCCGAATCATTGCAAAAACCGAACGATATAGAATAAAGGCGAAAGTTGTAAAACTGAACGCTATGACAGTGAAAATAAACCAGTAGGAAATGAAAATGACGAACTTTTCGACGAGCGAGGATAACGATGATGAACATTTTAATGAAGAAAGTCAGAAAGTGATACAGCGAATTTGACAAATATTTTCAAAAAAGACGTGTTTCCAAGTTCTGAAGATGAAAATGAAAGTATATTACATGATCGTCAAAATGAAATTTCTGCAGAAACTAGTTGGGAGAAATTACGAGAAGGATCTTTTCCTGAAAGATCATCCATCCTTTCTCGGTGGGATCATGGTGCCAAATGGAATAATAAAACCAAAAATGTGCTACATAAGATGTAATTCCTTTTTCTTTAAGAAACTAGTAAATCAATGAATATAAAAATATCCTATTATTACGTGTAATATTATACACATATATTTGAGGTTAGGATTTAGGTTAGGTTTAGAGTCGTTTTGACCAGTTTCGGTACCAGACATAACCTCGTTTCAATTTTCAGTAGTTCGAGTAATTTGATATTTTGTTTGTATTTGGATTCAGAGAGAGATTAATATTGTTAATGAATTTATAATATTAATATTATATTATATTTAAAATATAATAATATTATATACATTGTAATATTAATAATATTCGCGACTTGAGAGAAAGAAAACGTACTGTACGAATGTTAAGGAAAGGTGCAATCACTATTGTTAGAATTCCTAAGTTCGTCTCATCGTGCTCCGAACGAGCATCGAACGTCTCTTGAAACTCGGTGTTTCGATTTTAATAATCGTCCGCGGTGAATCACGCAGTAACTGAGACACACGCTCGCAAATTTCTCTCATCAGCTTCGAGCGAAGCAGCAGCGTCTAAGAAGCGTCTGCGAAATAAGTTATCAGGGGCGCGGCATTGTCGTTGGCTAAACCGCCCTAAATCTGCGAGATCCATAAATCTAAGCTCCCAAACGTATCGTAAACGTCTGAGATATTGGCTGCGCGGAGGAAACGGCGGAATTCGTCAAACAGATTCGCATCCATAAGCGAAGTTTCGTCGCGAATAGTCGGGAATATTTCACGGTGAGATACGTTTGACGGGAAACGATATCGTTCGTACGATAAATCTGCAAAGGAAATTAACGTTTAATCGAGCGAAGAGATCCTCTCCGGATTTCGCGCTAGCTATGCACGTCGCTCGTGAAAAATCACTATCCGCCATGTTTTGAACGTTTTAGGTAAAGCAAGTGAGCAGACTATCGTTCAATTATTTCCGATGGTCTCTTGAACATCTACAAGTTTCCGTCGGAGACATTAAAGTAAAAGAGATAGAAGATCTTTGTAATATTTTACAACAGGACACACCTTTCAAGTTTCCAAAAATATACATCTATAAATAGTTTTACGTCTATAAAATATCCAACAAAAATATTATGAAATATCTAACAAAAGTATTCGAATGGTCATTTCGATCTTTTTGGTAGTTCTGTAGCGATATCTACGCACGATGTCGCAAATAAATCGATTCAAGAGCCAAGAAGATCCTTTTAAGGATCGCTCAAGTCTCTAAAAGTGTGTTGTTTTGTAAAAACATCTACAAAATATCTAACAAAAAAGGTCCATTTTCTCGACCATTTTGTTAGTTCTAGATAATGTAGGTAAATCAATTCGCGAGCCAAGAAGATCCACCTTTTAAGTCCGCCGGCTCAAGTATGTAACCAAGTGACCGGTAACTTCGTTGGTGATCGTTCGCCCCGATCGAAGACAGAAATATCAAGAGTACCGGAGCCACTCGAAGATCACGTTCGATCGGGGCCGCAAGTCCGGCAACTAGAGCAGTAATTCCCAGGAGATTACAGACGCGGCGAAACTAATTTATGGCGGTCGAAATTCTGCTTGCCGAGGCGCGCTGCGTGCATGTACCGGATATCCGCGCGCCACCTAAACTGTCTTTACGTATATTACGAAATACACACACGCGTGTACAAAGACTGGTTAGAAACGCGTTTTTCGGCCGGCGAGAGACAATGGTAATCAAAGGGAATAGTGGTACGCCGTTTAAGGGAAGAGGTGGATTAAAACGCGATCGCGAGAATCCTGGTGTTGTGTCTAATTCCGCTGCTCCCGGTTCCGACATCTTTCGCGTCTCAAACGCGCACGAGGAGCGCTGTTTGTTGCTTTATTTAACACGGAATCTCGCCAAACCGAGGGCACTGAAGTAGTAACTCGTAAAATTATACGTCTGCTGTGTATGTATATGTTCGGCAGAGTAGAAGATTCCAACGACACGCGAAATTCGAAGTGAAATGACCAACAGGACGACGTTTATCTTGCATTTCAACATCTGCGTTGAACTTGGACAGGGATTGAATTTACTCACGCTCTTGCATTTATGCGAGGAAAATGTCGCGATCGTAAAAAGGAAATTAACGTGAAAAATTAAGAATGATCGAATTGATAATTCGACGACAAGACTACTTGCACGTCAATGGCTACGTATAAAATAACGAGACGACGTGCATAAGAAATGGCCGGCGAAAAACATGGCAAAGAATGTGAAATTAGTCGACGGTAAATCCCCTTGTCCTCTCCTGTTGGAGAGTACTCTGTTCAATCATTCTCGTCTAAGTAGGATTATACCGGCATAAGCTAAAACAATGGCGTTCTTAGGCGCTGCGGATCAGGCCTAAGTGGTTTAAATCGACTACGCGGACAAAACTCCCATTGCGTGCATCTGCAAGGATTTAATTATTTCGTTCGTATTGATAAATGACTCTCGGAATGCAAAATCAGCCGACACTTATTAACACGTTGACCTACGGGTCGCCCATATTTTGGATGACAGACAAGACAGCGTTTCGTAGAAAAATAAGTTTCTCGAAGTTAAACGAACGAAATTACCAAGCAACGATGTGATAATAACACAGTAAACTGTTACACTTGTTATTGTAACAATTGTTCGCGATATGTTGGATTGAACAAAGAGAACAAAGAACAAAAGCATGAGAATAAGAGGAATAAGAAACAAAAACGTAAGGTAAAAACAACAGGATACCTAACTTAGGGAGTAAGCATGGATTCGCGGCTCTGTCAAGAAATCTACTCGATCGGCGATCAACGTGTTAAATTAGCTTCTACAAGTAACTACGAGAGAGAGAGAGAGAGAGAGTCCTGGTCCCGTGTTGAAACGAAATCGAATTCGCGTAATCGCAGGCGGCAATTTTCCGGCGGGGAAAATAATCGCGTCGAACGAAATACTTTAACAAGATGAAGAGCGCGCGCGCCTTTTAGGGGCCAAGGGGCAGAGGAAGAGGAAACGGAAGGGGGGAGCAGCTGACCTCTCACCTTATTTCGTGAGAACTGCACCTCCGCTCCTTTGTAATCCCAGCACGCGAATCGAATTTAAGAAAGCCGACAGCCCAGCAGCAGCTCTGAGCAAAACTACTGGCAAAGTTTTAGTTGCACTCGCTGCACGTCGCACGTCGTATACGTGTATAACACCGATGGTATTCTGCCGATCGGCCGGCCATCGGCTCGATTTCCCAGCCCGTCCGCTGACAAATCGACGAGATTCGGAGTGAACGACTTGGACTTGGACATTTTCGATCGATCGAAACGAGTGGCGAAGAAATTTCGGCGGAGATTTACCTGCTGGACGTTGCAAACGGAGGATGAATCGTTGCCCGCGTGCTTGTGACAGAGACGACGACGAGGCGACGAAACACGACGAGACGGGACGGGACGGGACGGAATGGGACGCGAAACGAAGAGCGAAGGGCCGCGACGCGACGCGACGCGA